AATTAAGAGGAGTGATAGTACTCATCAAGATGAGCAATAATTACCATAGAACATAAGGTCGCATTCTACTCTGAGAGGCAGAAAAGAGGAATATTAGAATTCCAACCTGAACTTACAACAGTGTTGGAAGAGCGAACGAACGAAACCAAAAATTTCACAATCAGTTTAGTGAAAAACTAACAGAGAGTGCACAAAACTGATAAAACCGAAAACTCGGCTTTCGAGGTTTTCGAGCTCGACTTTGATGGCAACACTCAAATGACATCTTTGTTGCAAGTGTCACCTCGCAAACGATTGCAACAAGTTCATTATCAATTATTATCTCTTAGGGAAAAGCTGCTACCATTGATTAGTATCGGTAGCAGTTCGTTTTCCCTTAGCCATCGTTTGTCCTCTCCTCCTGGACTTAACTGTGCTGCGCTCATTCTACTTGAAGCGCCCTTCTATGGATACAGTTTCTGACAGTGGGAATACAGCATGAACTTTCCGTACTAATCTCGGCATACAGTGGAAGCTAGAGTTAGTTGATAATATTCACCCTTGATTTGATAGCCCTGATAGCCCCGGATACGAAGCTCTGACCCTTGAATGATCCTCATTGTTCATTGCCCGGTGAGCTGTAGCTGGCTGAAAAGGCCTCATCTTTCGGTCCTTCTCCTGATGGACTGTGCAGAGGTCATCAAGAGACTGCAACTGATGGTGTGCATATATTTTCTATCCTCAACACTATATCTCTATTCAGCCAATGGTCAGGTATCATCGTGCCTTAAGGCACTCTGCACTCGCTCCACGTGAGGGCCTCATCTCGGAGTTGACGATGCAATAACGAATCACCTTGAAGCATCTGGCGCAGTAGACATGCTCATGTTTTGTCTATATTCCTCTGCATAAGACAGTGAGCCATAATTCTAGAAGGAAGAATTAGGTCGTGGTATGCACTCTATCAGCTTACTCCTGAAGAGTTCATCACTCACGTGGAGAAAGCGGTATCTGGCTCACATCATAAGGTGAGGATTTGTCGACTGCAAAGAAGACATCAGTGCCCTTATCGATTGTCACTCGGACCCACTGACCGATGAAGACCTCCTTCAGATGACAAAATCCGCAAGTGAGGAAGAAAACGAAGAGGAAGACAAAGAAAAAACTGAAAAGTGTGGCTTTACCCTGGAGAATCTGTAACATGTTCAACAGGCGAAGCGATGCAACGGTTGCACAGCATTGACGACACTAGTTTCCACCTGTCGAGTTAAGCAATCGTATTGACGGGGTATGTCCTTGTACAGGGGATTTTGAAGGAAATGAAAAGCAGACAACACTACTCATCCCGTTTTCTCTCCATGGTAAAGCCTCCTCTCTACCTCAGGCACCTCCGCAAGAGTTCCGACTAGCCTAAAGTTCTACGAGTCATGGAAGCCTCTCCTCAGCACCAACAAGACTCTCGCTCTTTCAAAACTTGCTGATAATGTTTATATGTAAAGATTTGTATAACCTTATTAATTAGCACTGACACGTTAAGTAAATACGTATACTGTTGTAATTTTTGTCTTAAATGTGCAAAGTATAAATATTGTTTACATATTTAAAACATTGTTGTACCCGCATACACGAAAATTCTTACTTCGCGGTTTTTCAGCTTTCGTGGAAGGTTCTGGTCCCCATTAACCGCGAAAAACGAAGGATCACTGTATACCATTTTATAAGTGTATATAAATATATCAATTTTTATGTTATATATGGTATGATCTGGTTTATTTGATTACAGAGAAGCACCCACGGCTATTTGCCTAAGGGTAAGGATGCCTCCGTGGAGGACTTTCTAAGCATAGCTGGCTCGTACACCCGTTACACATGGGGAAACCACGAAAGCGCCCATACAGCCATTCCGTTCACCGGAATTCGAACCCCGAAACGAACTACCAATGTTCAGTGGCTTTACCGCTCAACCGCTAGTGAGCCTCCTCTCCACATATACATATGCACATATAATATGCGTAAGTATGTTTATATATAGTATATACATATACATTAAATTTTGAAATTATATTTTCATGTCATTGATAAAGAGTAATTCAGTGATGAAGAATTATAAAATATTCTACGGAATTACATTGCTTCCTGGATTTTTCGTAAGCTTCATGATATTTCTTAAAGAGAATCTCAACGCTAATTCCATTTCCAAGCCATTTATGTACCTCATTTATTTTGCACTGAATTATATTTAGAGAATTATTTCACATGATTAGAGATGAAAATGCAGATTTATAAACGAAGAATTTAAGGGTAAGAAGAGAATTAGGTCGTTTTCTAATTATTCTTGAAGCATTTAGATTTGAAAAAATATGGCACATTAATACAGATCACTGAATGAGATGGCCGACAGAGGACAGATTAATTAGCTAATAAATTTTAGTTTTCATTGAGCAAAAATGAATTCATGTGCATTCTTTAATAAAAGAAACATACAATTTTATGTTTTCGCATTCATATTTTTTTTTAAATACTTAACTAATTCAAATATTGCAATATATTATCAGTAATAACTTCCTAAAATACAATTTTAATCGATTTTAATTGTTATTTTGTCTTTGCTATACCCCTCTTTAGAGTTCAATAGCAGTCGATTAGCATTTTTCTGGGTTCATTTTCCTTTATAGTACGCTCACACTTTATATATATATTATATACATATTGCTCGTACTCCTCATTTTCAACTTTTAACATCTCTGGGAAAAATGGAATATCCGAATCCAGAAAATGATTCTTGGTGATGCTAAGATTGTTATTACTAAGCACCGTCATGCCAAAATGCTTCAAAAAATCCCATTGTTTAAAGGTAGAATAACATTATGCTCATATCCTGGGCTAAAAATAAAAGCTACGCGTCAGTTTAAAGGAGTTTCTCTTAGAAAGCCTCAATTAAAAAGTAGTTATAGAAAATGTTAATCAATGCTTAATATTATCAACTGGATTTGACATTTACTCACTATTTGATCAAGTGTATGGCAAACAGATATTCGGCATTTGTAAAGAAAAGAAAGTTGAATCAAAATGAGTTATAGCTTCGTTTTTCTCGACAGCAAAACCATCCTAAGATACTATCGGAATTAATCTCTAAATTATTCCAATAATATTCAGAGCAATGGGGGCATTCATAACTATAATTCACTAATGTAAATCCTATTTTGGCTTCAAATGGTTTTCATTAATTACGTTAATGATGTTGATATTTGTAGAAACTGTTACCAAAAATGTTATGATACTTTATTATTGATGGTTATGTATTATATTATTAAAAAGCTTATTTTTTAATTACCTCATTTTTTGTACTGATAAACAATAAACTATTATAATATGAAAGAACAAAAGAAATGAAATGAATTATTTTCTGATATTTGGGAAAATTTCATCAGCAATATGCATAAAAAGTATCTATAATTGTTTTTAAAACACCCACTTCCAGCTCCATTCAAGTTTTAATTTCCTTATATATTGTTACTGAACGAGACTTAAAAACATCTTTCTTTTACATTATATCTCCCCTTATAACCTTTAACACCCCCGTTTACTTTCCCGTTCATAATTAACGCCATTCTCCTCTTCTTGACCTCATTTAGAACGACATCCTTTCAACAGGACATTGCGAGAGCGTATGTTGCCCACGTTGCGTTACTTTCCTCAATACACAAGGTGTTTTATTTCTACCTTAGCCGGTGCGCTTTCCAGGGCTGTCAACAACTGAAACGTCTGATCAATGGTTCCAGAGCGACTGACACAAAAATACCCATCAGCCAACTCGTTAGATTAGAATAGAATGGAAGCAGCATGAACTGCAGCGCTTGTAACTAATATTTAAATTCTGTTTAATTCTACATACACTCAGCCGCTATTGTTGCCAGATATTGTTTTGGGCTTTTTCTATATCTCAGAATTATCAGAAACTTTAATAATTAATCTTTTCTTTAAAACGTATCTGTAAATGAAACATGAGTCTGCCAATCACCTTCCTTGGTGTAACATTCCGGCAATATGGAAACTGTTGCCAACTCATTAATAAGGTACTTTTCCGCACGAAAAGGAACCTCTCAATTCAAGCTCCAGTCGATAAAATAAAACGTTAAGGATTAAATAGTAATATACGTCTTTATAGTCTTTAGCTATTAATAATCATTAAACGAAAAGTGTACCTTAATTGTTTTTGTAATAATATTAACTAATGCATATGGAACAAGCGTTAGAAATAAAATTGAAATATATCAATGGAGAATCAAAAGAAGTACCTTTTCTTTTGCTTCTTAATAATTTACTTACGGGACATTTAATTTAATGATCAGTAACTATTCCAGTAAATTATCTGTATTATGTGTGATAAGAACTTTTACGTCCTAAATTTGAACACCATTTAATATGTATGCAATATTAATATTCAAGATTATGTGAATAGGTATTTGTATACCAAATAGAATACCGAAGAGAAGTCCTCTATGTATTTTATACAAAGAAATATGATTTTGTTTTATTCTTATGATGGAATTATATTAAACACATATTTTCTTTAAATGCTAAAGCTTGAATATATAGGTCTGATTTCTTTACTGGTATGAAAAAGTTACATGATTTTAGGTTGAGTTTCATTTGCCCATTTAAGCATATGAATATGAATTTACAACATTGACACTCAATCCGTTTGAATTATACTGAAGTATTTATTAAAATTTTGATAACATGTTCACAAACAGTCTTTGATTGCTCAGGTGTGATCTTAATTTAAGGTTTAGTTAATCAACCAAATTTTTAGCGCTTAAGATTGTAATAACATATAGTCGTAAGTTTGAAAATAAAGTAAAGAAAGTTTCGTAGAAATCGTTATCACCTCAAAGGGGCTTTTTTTTATGAGTTTAAAAAATCTAGGTCCTTTCTTTTCCAGACCTATTCGCATTCATGTAATGGCTGTGTGAGTGAATATTCAATAAATTTTATGGTGAAAGAAAATGTATAATTACCTTTATCATTTGGCCTTCTTGGAAAGGTAATTCTTCATCGGCGGCATCAGGATTAGGTGACATTGATTGCGGATCATAATCAAAGAGTGCCACAAAATATCTCACCCTGTTGTCTCCTACGTCACTTACATGGCTCGAGTATGAATCATAATTTCCTTGGTCTTCGTACCTGCTCATTGGTTCATGGAAATCAGACATCCGCCTGTTCGTTTGCGATGGCGCACTACTTATGTTTCCTACACTTCGTCTTTTATTATAGTAGCTGTGGTTAGAATCTCTTTCAGCAGGTGATGGTTGACCACTTCTTGAGGCAACATGGGCAGGCGATTGATTCCTTGAAGTACTCCTGCGATTTTGGTCCTGAATGTTGTGCGATTGTGGAGAAATTCGCTGTCTTCCCGCTGCCGCTTGATTAGGTGGTACTGGTGGCTGGCTTCTACTTGAAGTGGAATCATGAGGTTGCCGCCTTGGCAACGATCTGTCTCTTTGAGGATGTTGTTGTGAATGATGATGTTGAGTTTGTGGTCCCCTGTGTGATCGTGAATTTTGTGAGTGATGGGCGTCGGGTTCAGTACGTAGCGGCCTCTGCTGTGAAGAGGATCCCGTGTATCCTTCTGGAGAAGTTGGTCTTTGACTTCCGCGTCTTCTAGGATCGTATTCATCATCAGAAAAACCAGTATCGCAATCCTCTCCACATGCGGTATCTTTAGTTATTTCTGCAACACAGAAAATGTTCATATATAACCACCTTGGAAATAAAAACCAGCATCCCTACACTTCTGAGAATCATGTACTTACCTGGAGGAAGTATATTTTACCATTAAAACAATCTTTCAAACCTACAATGTAGTTTAGTATCAGCTGTACTTAATCCGTTCAGGCAGCTAGCTTTAAAAGAAATTCTGAGAAATTTTATAAAATGGCAGTTCGAATAAAATTATTTATTTGCAGTAATAAGTACGTAAACAGTCAAATTATTTATGATAGAAAGAAATCTTTTTTATTCACTCCTAAATATAAACTATTTGATACTGATTAACAGAGCATAGAGATACTGGTAAAAAAGTAAAAGATTTATTATTATAGTAATTCACTTTAAATTTGCATTTTTTTAAGTGCATATATATTTGCATATACTTTAAATTTGTATACTCATTTTGAGAGAAAGTTGGCATTTTAAATACACACATCACAGAAATATTAACAAAGTATCATGAATACCTAGAGGTAGTGTTACATAATTATCAAAATAAAAAATTTCTATGAAAAATAGCTCCCTGTATACTTTCTAAGCAACTTACACAATCATTTGTATTTCTGAAGCTAAAAATTGTAATTAAATGCATATGATCTTAAAAATTTGTCTAAAAATTTACGGATTTAATTTTCAAATAAATTATTTCATGCAAGTGAAAAAGATCAGTAATGATGATATTAATAGTATATTTCACAAAAGTGTCTTTCATTATGCGTTAAAAAAACCTAGAGTATTAAATATTTTTTTACGTCTTTGCTCTTCTTTCATGTTACAGAAGTTGTCTTCTTTTTGGCATAAAAAAGTATATATTAAGTCACGAAGCAAAGTCAAAATGTTTTATAAATATTGTTTTATACGATCACAGTCCTTGTTAATTAATATATGTATTAAATTTAATTGTATTTAAAACTGAGATATCTGTTAATATAGAATATTAGTATTACCTCATAATATTTCAGCTTTTTATAGGCATGAACTGTTTTGAGAATTAAAAATACTTTAACTGTTTTACTTGACTATTATAAAATAAAATTCTGTTTGGAATTTCATCCATCAAATTTTCTTTGCGAACTAAATGTGGAACACAACTTATTACCGTCTGTCCAATGTATTTTTAAAATACAATAACTGCCTATTTATCAAAGCCTTTTTTGATTTAAACTTTATATCAGAACTTTTTTCGACGAATAAGTAGTTCATTTCGCTGACTTAAGATAAAATACACGTGTGGTGATAATTGTTGCTCGCAAAGTTAACAATATTGTACAGTTGTTAAAACGTTAATGCAAAATTTGCTGACACTTTTACGTTTAAAAAAAGTTATATGATGACTTCGTATTAAATTTTAACGGCATCTACATTTTAACTTTCATTTAGATGATGCTTGAATTCTAAAAAAAATTAATTTTCAATACGTAATTTTCTTCTCTAGTTTTATAGATAAGCATAACTAAGGGGTTTATATTTAGGTATAGAAAAGGCGATAATAATAGTTATTGCCAAAGTTGAAGCAATGATCAGTGATTTTAGACAATATAGGATCTTTTTTGTAATGCTAGTACTGAAATGTTTCTTCTCCATGTTTAAAAACACAATTGGGGAAATAAACCGATAACAGAAATGATTAATAATTTTATGCCTTTTAATTCGATAATAAAAGAACTAAGATTGTTTAAAGCCATCATATTATTGATTATGCAGCCAAAAGTTCTCAAATTAGAAAGATATGACAGGAAAAATTTCATCATTTCAAAGCTACAGAATGAAATTTGCACATGAGGAAAATAAAAAAGGTAAAAACAAATTCCATAAAAATTTAATAAGACAAACATAATAAAAGCAGTTAGAAGCAAAGATTTTTAGTTGAAGCACACGCACGCATATAGTTGGATGGGTAATGCATCACCTAAAAATCAAAATTAATTTTATACAAATGGAAACATATTACATGCTCCTAAAGGGGGGAAAGAGCCAGGTTTTTACGCATACTTACTATAACTTAGATTGCCTTCCTGGACAGCTACATTTAAAAGATATTAACCGTATGTCAGAAAATTCTGCATATTATATATGAGATAAGACATTTTTTTCTTTAGTTAGGGAAAACGGATTTGGGGAAAACCTATTCTAAAACTTGCTATAAATCTACTTACAATATATAAAATACATAACAATTTAGAAAAGCAACAACAAACTAAAGATCTCAGAAGTAAGATAATATAATTGTTTCAAATAATTTATCAAATTTTCGCAATCTCGCTTTCTTCATATTTTATCAAAGCTATTTAAATACTTGTAATCAAACTCCTTTCACTTTGCACCTATGGGTAATTTCTTCTTCGTAATGGAGTTAAAATTTTATTTCAGTTTAAAAAACTTTAATTAAAAAGGAAGGCATTGTAACATCTTAGTTTTGTTATAGATATCTTACTGGTAAGATATCTTTGATAAAAATTACTTTTAATTAATTTTTCCATTTGTTTTTAAAACTTGCTTGTAAACGAGATGGAAAAAACGTGGCTTCCAAGTTGGAAGTTAATCTTTTTTATGACAAATTCGTGTTTATTTTTGAAGCTTACGGAGAATTCTACATTGCATGTCTGTTATTTGTGGCATGGAAAGCGGTTATTTTAATTGCTAAAAAAATCGAAATTCTAAAAGTAATGTTGTATACTTGCGTAATAAGATATAAATGATGCTGAAAGAAACTGAGTCGATGTATGCAATCGGTGATATGTAGTGCTGAATACCATGAAATGAAATATTACGGAGCTTCTTGTATATTGTAGGATATCAGTAAATTAAGTTACATGTCAAATCAGAAGCTTAAAATTATAAATTTCCAAAGTTATCTAAGAAAAAAGTGTTACTAACGTCTTGAATTTCGAAATAAAAGAGATCCTGTATAGGCCTACTAGTTATAAGCAAATAAGATGCCCAGTTTGTTTTCGATATTATGTGATTAGATCTTGCGTCTACTATAAGTATATTGATTAGTTAAGTAACGGAACACCGATAAATCAAAGCTTTGATCGTAAGACCGCGGAATCAAGAATATTTCAGTACGAGGAAATATTCTTGATTTAAAGCGTAAGACTTACTGTATGGTCTTATAAACAGTTTTGTAAGATTTAATTCTCATAATAATTATTCCTGTTTCTTCCTCGGGACTTCGTATGAATGTTAGTTTATTCTTTCTTACGACTTTTCTATACCATATACATAAGTTAAGTTCTTTTTCAGGACTTAAGATGCCTATGTGTTTGATATTATGACCTGGCTTAAAGAAATTGTCTGCGTTTGCTTTTTTTATTTAAAGTGGCACTTTCTTAAAGGAAAAAATATGTCATAAACTATGAAGCTGATGAGTTATCTATCAAAATATATCTGCAGACTATGGAATTATTGTTTATAAAGACATTCCTGTAATATATCAAAGGTGCTCATATTTGAATGCATTTGAAGGTTTGAGAGAATTTTATACAATTACTAACTTTTAAAGAACAAACAGGAAGAATGACAAGCACTCGAAATGTAAACTGGAGGAAAGGAGAAAAAAAATTCATCTGAGCATGGAACTGCATTCGTTTCGTAATGAAATGTTTCAAATATTATGCAGATTTCGCAAGTGAAAAAGAAAGTTAAAAATAAAAGTTAAGAAAAGGCTGCAACATTTGATTTTACTTTCAGATTTTTAATAAAATTTCAGAATATTTCACAAAAATAATTTTTTATCTATAAATTGTTTAAAATTTCATTGCCTTATTTCTGAGAATCTTAGCTTATTGAAAGACTTAAATAAAATAAAATACATAATGCATTAAAATCACTTCTGTGAGAATAAATGTGCGTTTCAGAATCATATTTATTCTGTAGAAGTCATTTTTACAAAGAATTAATTTAGAATTTTTAATTTTTACGAAAAAGTTTTAAGTAGTAATTTTAATAATAATTTTATATATAGTTTGATTATAATCTTATTATATTTACAGATCTTCTCAGTTCTTATTTAAATTGTATTCAACTGAGAGTATTTTCTCGAGATACTAATCTGAAAATTGCATTAGGATATATTCAGAAAACACGCATAAATTAATTTACTACACTTCAACCCTATTATTGATACTCAAAGAGAAATCACTTAAAGCAAAGATGTTATAACTAATTGGAGCAAAAATGCCATAAATATATTTTTTGAAAAGTAGAAAAGAGGGGTTAATTTCAGTTATTCTTTCCGAACTCCAAATTCATTTTCCTTATTGAAGTCCTTGCGTATTCATTCACAGTTCTCTTATGCGAAGGCAAAACTCAGTAATTGGATGAATAGAAAATATTTATTTACTTACTTAATCTGCTGACGGATCTATCAGTTATGCAGACTAGCGTAATTTTTAAGTTGTTGGAAGTAATAAAAATTAAGATAACTCTTTAATAAGTATAACTTTTTATCTTAAATATTATACGCCAACAAGTATTTCACTTGAGGCGCGTTAAATATTCTTTCTCTGACGTTCCGCGGCCTTTCTGACCAGAATGTCAATGGTTTTAATCAAATGATTAAAATCATGATTTTAACCGGAGGAGTTTTTTAAAAAATTATTGTTTCAAACCAAGCATTCTTCCATTTTTTAAATGATGGAACAGGTACTAATCAAAGCTTAAGGTAATCTGTAATGCTTTTATAAGCTTTTTAAAGAAGAAACATTTTTTGAAATATTTTAAACAAGCTGTATTGGTGCAACGCAAGAAAGTGAATCGTTTCTATGTCCGTTTAGTCTCAAATCTGATGATAACTGCACAGATTCAATATGCTGTAAAAACAGCCGCTTCTCTAAAATAGATAATAAAACAGGTAAATCTTTCTATGCTACAAATTTTCTATACAATCTTTCTATGCATTTTGTAGTACAGAAAACTTTTATTTTATAAAATTAGCGGAAATGCTCCATCCGGGATATAAATTTTTGCTCAGGTGATTTTAATGGTAAATTAGTAAATGATATATAAGAACAAATAGAGAAATATAGTAAAGTTTTAGCTAATAAAAATATGTATGATGCTAGACGATTTGTCAAAGATCCAAAATCGACCAATTATCTATGTACATATTTGCAGAATAGGTAAAAATTGTATATTTAATGGAAATTACTGATACATCATTAACATGACATAAATTTAATCTTGCTCTGTTAATGCCATAAAAAAGTTGGTAACAAATTGTTGTTTGAAACGTTGTAAAATTTCTATTACCGAATAATGTAGCGCAAATATGGCACACATTAGAAAACAGTTTTCAGCTTATATCTTTTATATTTTTTCAGCACTTATATATAAATTAATGGCCAAAGATTTAACTATATGAGACGTTACTAAACATGTTATTCATGCCGTAAAATAGTTTTGAAATCATCACCTTGTCTGAGCCAAACTTGAGGAACAGATTTAAATGTACCATCTGAAGTACGTTGAAACTGAGAATCTCTTGAAAGCTATTTAAATAATTGGTCAGTTTTCATGTAAATTGCAGAACAGAACTGAGATGTAATGGATGGTTTACTGCTGGCCATTATAATTACTGTACCAAGAAGGAAGCGCACAACAAACTTGGAATTTGTATGTACATGCTGAGATATGCAAATGATTAATATTTCATCTCATGCGCAACATTACAGGCATGAGAAATGACATCTGAAGCTGTATAAAATGTATTGAAATGCCTAATTTGTATTCGGAAATCGGATTACTCGTTGTGTGTTGCTTTGGGAATAGTGTTATGTGTCGTCTCTTGTAAAAAAAATATACTCACACCGATACGTCGCAGAATTCGATCACGAGAGAATCGTAGCCTTCCATGATTACAGATTTTAATACCACGCAACTACGGTTCACGTTGTCGAGCTCGAAAGACTGTTATGAGAAGTTTTGCAATCTTTGAGTGAAGGAGGGCCACGCAGAGCGACTTGCGGGATCTCAACTCATCAACTCACTAATGCCGAGGTGACAGACATGTTGTAATCATCGCTGTTAGGGATGTTATAGTCACATCACATTCCCTGGTTTAGAAGACTGGATGATTTACACAGCACCAAGTATCCACACATACAGTGCAACAGACAGAGTCTGTAGCGTCGCGGGTTGTCAGCAAGACGTACATTGTCATTGTAGCACAGCAATCAGCACCTACAATTGTGCTTGAATGCACACATCAAAGGCAGGACGTTGTCATTTCTGGCGAATCTCACTTTTGCTTATAGCAATATTATGGCCGTATCCATGTGCAAAGGCACATTGAGAACGAACATTGGAAGCTTATACTCCATCGTCATACAGGCCAAGCATCTGAATTGATGTCATGAGATTTCACTTTGTATTTATTGGCTCGAAGCACTTTGTATTTTGACTCGAAGCATTAAGATTGGACCCGCCAAAGGCACGCCCTCGTTGCGACGTTCTTTCACTCATTCAATCATCACTTAGATACCATTTTTAGAATAACGAATGATGTTTTTATGATATTCATCAAAAGCAGGGTGTCAGAATCCATAACATAATTCTCAGAAGTTCCTTCTTCTATTATTCTGTGTCGTATATTTTTGACTTTACAATGCCATATTCCTCGAATAATTTTGAAACGGATATGCCTTTTTCTATTTCTGCAGCAATTCCAATTTTGTTTGTGATAACCGAAAGATTTTAATTTTGATAAGATGACTGTAATAATAATAGCGTACATAAAATAATGAGCTGGATTAAATTATAAAGTTAACGAAAAGGGCAATTTGCTATATTAATTGAACTTAACGGTTTTCGGAATCTAATCCTTTCTTCCGTTGCCGCTCGCTGCTATGCCAACAGTAAAACAATATAAGCAAAATCCCGTCCCAAACAGTGAAATAGAAATATGCTAACGCCTCCCAAACCGCAGTATGTTATAAAAGTGAAGCGCAGGAATTCCAGTTAATATGGCGAAAAATCACATTTAATGCACACCTTCATTTTTTAAAAGTATTTTATTCTCCATTTCTAGACTTCCAAGGAAAAGAACTTTTCTGGTAGTCCGGAAGTCTAGATATTAGATATTGGACGTGCAGATTTCAGACTTTGTACTGTAATAAAATAATTATGTATAAAATATTTATTACGCTTCTCAATATTACATAATTAGAGATTTAATTACTTCGAAAGTCGTGAACGCATGGAGACCATTTAATAAGTTCATGTAGAAGGTAATAAAAATATCTGATTTAAATAAAAGAAAATTGAATTAAAATTTAAAAAAAAACTGATTTTTTTAAAACTGTGTTCTTTTTATGTGCTTCCATGGGCACACACAGGGTAAGTCAAAAAAAGAAATCGAACTCAAATGAATTTTGGATGAAGTTTTAAAGGGAAGGAAATATACACATAATGAAGCTAATGAAGCATAAAATGTATTCCTATGCTTTACATAGCAAAATCAACACGAGAAAGACTAGTTTCGGAATTTTCCCAAATCTGTTTCCGAAATCATATGTAGTTTAGTTGATGGTATCAGAATACGGTTTTAGTGTGTGATAGAGATTTTGCGTTACCACCCTTTTCAGGGTTTGGAACGGCATAAAATTGGTTTGTGCTGTTCCTAGAGAAAGAAATACCAGTGATTTGTATTAAAGGAATTCAGTATCTAACTATTCCTTCCGTCTGACACACTAGGCTTAAAATTCGCTCGAGAAAGTTTTCATTTAAAAGTTTAAATACACCATAGGTTCTGAAAAGCCCTGCTGCATTTTGCCTAAAGTTAATGATAATATTTAAATACTATGAAGGAAGATTAGTGCTCTGTATGAAGAATTCTTTCCAAACCATTTTTATATGACTTTTGAGTGGACAATTTTGTTGAAAACTAACTGCAGATAAATTAAGGAAAAGAGAAAAATAGCGCAATATAAATATAAAATAATTATACAAAATTAATGGAAACAAATGAAAATTTAATAAAAATACTATAAGCTATTTTCTCCCTCCCTCCAGCATGCCCTTCATGGTGTAACGGTAGCACACTCGAAGCGTATTTGATAGGTCCAGGTTCGAGCTCCTGGCAGGGCATTGCTAATTTTTCATGTACTTCTGTTTCAAAATAATTAATGACTCTACAAGACTCGAAATAAAAACAGCAAAAAGAGCTTAATAACCTGTTTCTCACTTAAGATTCAGATCAACTTATTTTGTAACTGGAATTTCAATATTTGACTCTGGTAACGCCGTCTGTTGATGGACTTACCAAAAGGGTTTAACCTCTAAACCGTAAACCAAATGGTTTGATTCGTCTTCCAGAAATGAGATTTATCATTATTCGGTTGAATGCAATTCTTTTCTTTGTCTGTATTCTCCTTGAAAGCTAAATAACTTTCACTTTGTAGAAATAATAAGCTAAAGATTCGATTTATAATCATTTGGAAAACATATACCAAAAGAAAGAATTCTGGAGCTGATATTACAGTGATGACATTTCTAACTGTGTAAAAATCAGTATCTAAGACTGATGTAAACAGGAAGAACAATTTGCAACAATTTGAACATGGAAGACCGTGTCAAATGCATCAGGCTCGCATAGCGAGTTCATACAAATTGGTCTTCAAAAGAATGTCGTCTTCAAAGAACGCTTTTGTGTAGTTTTCTTTTTCTTTTTGATAGGGTTGTAGAGATATTAGGATTTTTTGGAAGCAGGAGATGTGAAAAATGAGCAACGCCTTCGCCGGGAATCGAACTACGGACCTCTGAATACGCGCCCAGCGGGCAGACCACTACACTACGAAGGCATGCTAAGGAGGCGGGAGAACTACCTTATAAGGCTATAGACTAAAAGATACTCTTTTCCCTTTCGAGTCCGTTAGACATCATACTTTCGCATTAACTTAAAATGAATAATAAAAAGTCAGGGTCACTCCCTTCGTAAAACTATCGCTTTAATTCTAAATAAATAAATAAAAATAAAATTTTAATTGAAATTTTTACCAAACTGAAGAGAAAAATAATCAAATTTTACGTAGAGCTATATTAAACAAAGGAATGTTAAAAGACAAAGATAGAGCTAATTTCTTTAATACTAAGTATGGTTTGCTACCAAGTAATTATCACTTTCTTCCTAACTTCAAAAGAATCTGTCAACCAAACTTTATTTACTAGAGTTAGGTTCCTTTGACATATCTTCTATTAATAGGTAGTTTTTTCTGCTCATAGGAGCACATCTAAAGTATTTAGTACTGGGAATACAATTTTTATGAGGATTAATGTCACATTTGTTCAGTACTTCAGTTATCAAACATAATACCATATTTGTTCTGTACTGCGGTTATAAAACGTAATACTCTCTGAATATAGTTCATATATACCGCATCAGGTTCTAAAAGAAAATATTAAAGTATGATTCATTTATCGATTTTGCTGAATGTCCTTTATCTGCAAACTTGATAGTTTGCGAGGTTAGTTACTTGATAGTTATCGTAAAATATATACACATGTTATAGATGTAAATATATTTCACGTATGTTAATGCGAATACCAGCTACATGTGAGGAGGAAAATACTCTTTATGTGAAATTAAATATTTGCATCATCGAAATTTAACATAAATTGCTTTAACAATTAAATGGGCAAAATCTTATCTCAATATGACATGCATAATCTACATCACTCAAACATTACGTTACCTATCGATGGTATATTGGCTCTAGAAGATAGATACATTTCTTTATCACTTAGGGTTTCGTCGGAATCGAGTACTATCTGTCCTGAGTTATTTCTGTGTTCTCTACGGCTCCTATGTTCTACTGTTCCATTGCCTTCTATAGCAGTACAACTCCGATTGCTATATGATTGTTCCTTCCAGCCTTGTCGTCTTTGACTAGGTACCTGAATACTTGGCGGGTTCTGATTCATTCGTCGGACGGTGTGAGAGGACTTTGACTGGTACTCCTGGCAAAAAAGTTGGAACTTTTTTCAAGATCATATAAAGAATGCTTAAGAAAAATAGAATAAGTGAATTATCTTTGAAATGCTCCCTGTAGATCCAGTTTAAGAAATGAATCAAATAAGGTAGGCTTTAGGACTAACAGTTACGGACCTTCTGCGAAGAAAATTCTAATTAGTAAATCATACTTATCGTATTAAAGTCTTTTAAAGCATAATACGGAAAACTAACACTGAAAAGATATTGTTGAGCTCTTTCAACCCAATGAAAAAACATGAATTTGAAGGTTCGTATTCAAATTAATTTCGTTAATTACAAAATTTTGAACTTCAGCATTTCTAATATTTTTATACAGGAATATGGGTCCTTTTCTTTTTAAAATCATTTTCGAATTTTCGCTTTATATGAATTAGGACAGGTTTCCGAAATATTAGGTGTATGAAATGGTTAGTAGAAAACGTTCATCAATACAGGCTTACCTGAGACTGCGATTTATCATTTTCTATATCTTCGCATTCCAGGTCATCGGTTTCGTTAATGCTTTCTACTTTGCAAAGCATCTTGGGCTTTCCCTGTAAGAAAGCATGAATTATTTCACATAATGTCTGAAAGCCCAAGAAGGTAAGATTTGTTTACATCATAGAAATGTGCTTTCGATTAGTTAATTTTGATAATTGTTAATTAAAATTTTTAAAAATTAATTTAAACTGCAAATGTTTTAATTTTAAAAAGTGATTTTTTTTGTTTTCAAATTTTTAAATCTTCTGAAGCATTAAAAATAATTTAAATCATATTACGCTAAATAATAAAAAGATGACTTCTTAATACATTTGCTTATTGTTTTCGAATCTGAATGAATTATATAAATCTGTAAAACGTGAAACAGGAATTTTGTGGCTATATTCAACAAGAAAACTCAAAGTGAAGAAATCTTATTGATTTCTAATGGCTACCTAATACTAAAAAAATGTATATAAAATAATATGAAAATTATATTTTGCAACAGAATTAAAATAAAAATGATGCATAAATTTCGCATATTAATGCAGATTCGAATTTGTTTTAAGATTAAAAGTATTATCTTATGTGTTACAGTGTAGTGTCAATTTGTAGCAGTTTCTCAAGTCTAGCAAATTATACATCTAAAGTTGATTCAGACCCCTAAAGTTTAAAATTATGCTATTTTTCTTACTATCTAGAATTCCTTTAAAATAAAAGCATAAGACGTTTTGTATGACTTAATTATCGTAATTATAGTAATGTATGGAGTTCAATGCTGTAAGAATACCCCATTAATATATTATGTAATATTTTACATATCAGAATATGTTTTAAAAGGTACGGTTTAGTAAATGACTTCAATTAAAATGTAATTTCTACTGTTTACCTGTTAATTAATACACACATTGGTTTAAATAGAAAAAAATAAATAAAGTGACCCTTCTCATGATACACACCTTTCATGAACAAGACGTTTCAAAGTTACCATTATTTCTGAGAACGTGAATTAATGTCGCTACCGGTAATTATAAAATCCTGCTGTAAGCTGACCTTTCCATAACCCGACTAATTTGGTCAAACGCATTTATAAAAGTGACCACCAAAATACTTATTTTCTGCATCAGTTTCTATATCGATATATTTCAGGCATTATAAAAGTTGAGAAACTTATCTTCAATGAAAACAACGTGAGAAAAGTACTTATACAGAAAACAATTTTTTATGCGCTTCTGAAATTTTAGTTTTATTCTTATCTCAACATAATATAATTCGTTGCATAGGCTACTCTTCATGCAGCACTCTTTTAACGATTAATTATAATCCTAAACTTTTATATTACTTTTTCCCATTTTTGCCGGCTCAAGAAAAAAAATTTCCAATCCATATTTAAACCAAGGCAATTCATTTTTGCTTTTGAGGTTGTTGCAATGGGCTGCGTTTATTTCAAAATTCACAGCTCACTATATATATGCAGTGACTTTTTATTTTAGATTTTGAGAAGCTAAATGAAAAATCTTTGATTTATAGATCTGAAAAAAAGTAAAAGTATTAAATTAAGTATTAAAATTACGTTAAAAAAGTATTAAAATTCGCTTGCAATTTATAGCGAATGAAACTGGCAGAAAAGTGCGATAAATAGTTGAAAGCAATGAAATGGCTTATTTACTTAATAAAAAGAGAATTAAAATTTATTATTTAGTTAAAATTACTTAAGAAATAATTTTAAGAAAGAAATTCATAGAAAATTAAGTGCGCGATAAATTTAAAAAAAGTTTTAGTTTCATTAGTCGCTACTTAACTTAGTCATTAATTCATGATTTAATACTGATATATTAATAAACCAAAGCATTGCACTTTAATAATTGCTTGCAATGCACAAAAATATTGCCCGACATCTTTTCCTATCAGCTATAGTATTCCAACAGTAGGGGTGGGATAAGCAGTGTCTTTCATTTGAAACATTTAATCATAAAATAAGATAGGTTGCTATCTGATTACAAAGGTTTGCAAAATGAAACTTCAAAAGGTATTTCTAGAGAAAATTTTAAATGACTTTACAAACTGCTAAAACTGTGACATGTACAGGCATATTCTTAATAACTATTTAACTAAAAAGAAAATTATGGCCATGTTTTGAATTTGCTGGGTCACATTGCCAAATTTTTCAAATCGTAAATTTGATATTCTTCACTAACTTCCCAATGTGGATGCTAGCTTCTGCTGGCAAATGTTGAGATCTATTATTGTTAATCCAAAGGGCAATAAGGAAGCATTCATTCTTCTCCGTTTTCACAGTTTGTGGCAATGGTAACGTTTGTTTTCAGCAATGGGTTGCAGTGGCATTCACTTACTTGAACAATAGCAATACAATGAGATTTACTCCACATGCAGCCTGCGTCGAAACTCACGTAATCTCCAGAATCGCGCGCACTAAATTCGAATGAAAGTACTCATTATGATGGTAAAACGTGATAATAATGGATAAACATGATAATGGTGGCAATGGACCTTTAACAGATGGAAAAATGTTTTCTGGCATGATGAATTTGTTTACTCTTGCATTATAGTGATAACCAAGCTTAAATATGGGGCAAGTAGCACAAGTGTTTTGAAGCATGTTTGGATTTCAACAAGGCCCCTCATGCTCCTTTCGTTACCATTCCAAGAACACGTAGGTGCCGGAGCTGAAAAGATCTACAAGCCGAATATCTCCATCCATGCGTATATGTGATCTGCACGAAATAGCCTTTTCTTGAACAGAAAAGCACATTCTTTTCGGATTCGTACAATTGTTGAGTGACTAAAGGAAAATGACAAAGAACTCGCCACATTAGCTTAAATATCCTGCTTTCTCAACTCTCTCACAGTTGAACATTTATGCGATATTATAGACCAAATTTTCGTCTCGGATTGTGTGTTATGGTAATCTTACAACAGACATGAGTCGAATGGAGAATGTTTAGAAAATTATGGAATCTCTTCTAGGCATCGGCGAGCCATAATTGGAAATGAAGATAAACGAATGCGTTATTAATTGGAAATTTCTAATGCAAATTTAAATCGCTATATAGCTACATTTTAAAAAATAAAAAATGTAAAAGGAACGAAATAACTAAATATTCATTTATAAAAAAGTAGTAAAGGGGCTGTTTAGATATATTTTAGATTCATTTTCTGATAAAAATTTTCAAGGGTTCTTTTGTACAATTTTGAAATAATTAAAATAAACATCTACAGATACAGGGTCACAAACTAGTATAGCCTTTCTAAAGTGAGTCTTATATTGGATCAATTGCTCTCATGAAGCAAGTAGAAATCCTAGTAAATTCTAAAAAGATTTACAAAGCTCACGCAAAAATTTCAACTAAATTTCTTAACCCCACCTATTATTAACTTCTTTTCAAATTTTTGACTGACCTATTGTCATCAGGCAACTTCAGCTGGCCAGGTAAAACTGAAAGATAAGTGACTTATTATATTAAAATTTGAATGCGGTGTTTTCTTTGATAAGCTGAAATTCCCTTCAATATGTGTGTTGGAAAATACACTGCTGTTTAGTGAAACTGCCGTACTAACAATGATATGAGTTACAGCACAGATATTTATGGAAGCGATGACGTATGATATAAGGTAGAAAAATTAAAACGGTATACTTGCATGTTATAAGGAGCATACTAAATCAGTACATTTGTTTAGATCCCTTTAATCGATAGCAATGGATTCCACAAGATGTTTCATTGCCAACAGAATGTCATTCTAGACAGATTCAATATGCATCCCCAATGCATGCATGAATGGTAATTACGGTGCTGACATACAGGGTCGAATCTTTGAGCAATCATATATTATAGGTGCTTGATGGAAGGGAAAAGGGGAAATGGCGTAGATTAAGAAAGAATTGAAACAGGCTGGAAACGTTGGGAATTACATACAATATGGAAGATAGTACTGTTCTTTTGTAGCTCCAACAAGATTCCAAAGGAACGGTAGGACTGCTGATTTTAAAATCAGGCTCTGGTTGTCCACATTGCCCGTGATTCGTAGAAGGCAAGGGCATTATTGAAACATCACCATTCGAAATTCTAAGTCTGACACTGGGTTAATTTTGAAGCTGTTTATTAGAGATTTCTAGATGCCATTTCTCATTATATCAAAGATTGAAAACACGATCACCATGTGTCTAGAGATTGTACAAAGAATCATCGGATGGGCTGATTTACTCTCATTCATTGTTCCAGAGTCTTCCTTTTTTTCCTCATCGAAATTGCTAACATCTGTGGTAAAAGTCGCAGTGACAGATTCCTAGCTATGAGCCCTTGCTACAACAATCGTCGGCGAACAATGGAGTCTTTGGTTAATATGTCTCTGTTCTTCACAGTGGTAATAATGTATAAGGTATTTTCTCTCTCCGTTAAGAGTTTCTTAGAGGTGTTATTGGAATATAGTCGACGCGTATTCGAGAGGTCCAGGGTTCGAGTCCAGGGTTCGAGTCCCGGCTAAGGCATTGCGCATTTTTCACTCTTCCTGCTTCACAAAACTTAATGATTCTACAAGTCTAGTGATTGTGTTCCTAATTTATCTTATTTATTAATTTTTACTAATTGTTAGGGCTTTATTAAAATGTGAGATGCATTTAATTAAAGTATTTAGCAATTAAATTATACATTTTAAAGGAAGAGCCACCACTGACTTTTAAAAAGACTTGAAAATTATATTTACAAGAACAATTAAGTAACTGCATACTAGAACTTTGCACTATAGAGCTATCCAACTTTATTAATTTCCTTAATATTCATTAAAAATTATTTCATTCTAACAAGAAGTTATTAATGCAGCCTACTCAACTGCAACTTAACTTTTGCACATATTTTTCGCCTTAAGTTTAATGGTTATGAAGTTAGAGATTATGGAGGATTATTTCTAATTAAGGAGATTTTCAACTAGATATGCTTGTAATAGATCATGAAACATATTAATTTTAATAAGCATAACAAATTTATTACAATGTATTTATATTTCGATGTTCTTGCATACTATTCATAATACATTTAGTATGAAAAAAGCATTGATA